AGACCCAGGAGTGCAGATTCCTAGCCCTTCCTCTCCTGGGATCCAGGAGCCCAGACCGTGCGCGGCCTTCTCAGCAGATGCCAACATTGGGATCCAGTCCCCATTTCTGACTCCCTTTCCTCCCTGCCCCGCCCCTGCCCCTGCCCCCAGGGCCTCCCTTCTGGGGCCTGGTGAACGCAGCCTGGAGTCTGTGTGCAGTGGGGAAGCGGCAGAGCCCCGTGGATGTGGAGCTGAAGAGGGTTCTTTATGACCCCTTCCTGCCCCCGCTGAGGCTCAGCACTGGGGGAGAGAAGGTAAGGGGCCTGGTGGGAGGGGTGGCCGAATCCACTGCGGTGGGTGTGCGTGGAGGGGTGGGACACTGAGGTGGGAGGCCGGCCTTGGGGAAGAAGGGGTACACGCTGGGCGGAGAGGCCCCTTCCACCCTAAAATGGATCACCTGTTCTTTTCTCCCCACACAGGGCTCACTAGCCTCCCCATCTCTGTAGAAGCAACGGTAAAACAGGTTTCCCGTGCCAGGCAGACTTAAAAGCTTGTTAAACCCTCTAATCCTCACAGCAACCCCATGTAGTCCCACCGGCCTCTTCGCTGTCACTAAAGAGTCCACCTCAGGGCCTTTGCACTTGCTGTTCCCTCTTCCTGGAACGCCCTTCTCCCTGCTCTTTGCAATGAACCCCTATTTACTTTTCAGGTCTCCATTCAAATATCACCTCCTCATGGAAGCCTTACCAGACACCCCCGCCCCCCCACCGCCCATCTAGGCCAGATTTCCCATTATACTTTCCCAGCACGAGAACAGGATGTCATTAATTAAGCAGTTACTCATGTGAAATCAGTATCTGTTGTCTGTCTCTGCCCAGTCAGAACATAAGCTCCACGAGGCCCAGGAGTTTTTGTCTACTTGTTCATCGTTCTCTTCCTGGCATCCATGGCACATAGTAGCGACTCCATAAATATTTAATTCAGCAAATTCACCAACACTGAGCACCTACCATGGACCAGCACACAGCCTGGAAAGTCGTAGGTGCTCTAACTATGCTGAATGGTTAAGTGACTGTCGGAAGCAGGAAATGTAGGAGCGGAAATAGGGGGAAAGAGATCTCTCTGTGTCCCATGTCGCGTTCCGTCTCGCCCACAGCTCCGGGGAACCCTGTACAACACCGGTCGTCACGTGTCCTTCTTGCCTGCACCCCGGCCCGTGGTCAATGTGTCTGGGGGTCCCCTCCTTTATAGCCACCGACTCAGTGAACTGCGGCTGCTATTTGGGGCACGTGATGGAGCAGGCTCTGAACACCAGATCAACCACCAGGGCTTCTCTGCTGAGGTGCTGGCCGCCGACCTCTGACCCTTGCCCTGAGTCACCCTCACCCTCTCCTTGCCTCACCACATCCTCCCTACAGAACTGCCCGGCCCCACTAATCCTTAACCTGACTTGGGACCCCTCAAAGGCTCAGAGCTGCACCCATTCTCTCCTCCTTCTGCTGGGGAACCCCACTCCCTGTGTTGCCCTCCCAGGTGCAGCTCATCCACTTCAACCAGGAACTTTATGGGAACCTCAGTGCTGCCTCCCGGGGCCCCAATGGCTTGGCCATTCTCAGCCTCTTTGTCAATGTGAGTCCAGGCAAGATTCGGAGGGAAGGAGGGAGAGAGGGAGGGAGGGGTTGGGCACCTGGAATCTGGGGTCTGAGGAAGAGGGAGGCTGGGAGGCCCAGACTCCTGGGTATTGGGGGAGGAAGGGCTGGAGGGCTTGGACTTCTGGGTTCCTACCTCCTCACCTCACATACCCCCACACAGGTGGCTGGCAGCTCAAACCCATTCCTCAGCCGCCTCCTTAACCGTGATACCATCACCCGAATCTCCTACAAGAGTAAGTCCGTGGTGCTTTACTGGGGGTGTGCACATGAGTGGGAGCTCAAGTGGGGAACCCTTTTTAAAAAGAAATATTTTTATTGATTTCAGAGGGGAAGGGAATGGGAGAGAGAGATAGAAACATCAATGATGAGAATCATTGATTGGCTGCCTCCTGCACGCCCCACACTGGGGACCAAGCCTGCAACCCAGGCATGTGGCCCCGACCAGAATCGAACCCGGGACCCCTTAGTCCGCAGGCCGGCGCTCTATCCATTGAGCCAAACCAGCCAGGGCTGGGGAACCCTTCTTCATTCCGGCGTAATATGTCCGCAGATGATGCCTACTTTCTCCAAGACCTGAGCCTGGAGCTCCTGTTCCCGGAATCCTTCGGCTTCATCACCTATCAGGGCTCTCTCAGCACCCCACCCTGCTCTGAGACCGTCACCTGGATCCTCATTGACCGGGTCCTGAATATCACGTCCCTCCAGGTGACCCTCCAGCCACCCTCCTTCCCGAGGTTGACTGGAAACTCCAGGGGGTCAGAGGGTCAGATGACACTTGGGGCTGGGGTAGAGCTGAGCAAGGCCCCTCCGATCGGCTCCCAGGGGCGGGGCTTCCCGAGTGACGTCACCAGGACCCTTCCCCACCCCTGGTGGATTCACTCCCCATTTCCTACTCCTCTCCCCTCTCTTGGCAGATGCACTCCCTGAGACTCCTGAGCCAGAATCCTCCATCCCAGATCTTCCAGAGCCTCAGCGGTAACGGCCGGCCCCTGCAGCCCTTGGCCCATAGGGCCTTGAGGGGCAACAGGGACCCCCGGCACCCCGAGAGGCGCTGCCGAGGCCCCAACTACCGCCTGCATGGTATGGAC